TTTGTGTGCCTCAATTATCCATTGAGCTATGCTGGGTTGTGCTTTTCGCACCTTTGGAGCCACTCATACCTAATTGATCAATGGTTAGTTGCCAGACGAACTCAGTCTCGTGGTCTTCCAGGTTGGGAGTTGGAGTGAGGATGGCTCATTACTCCATATAAAAGGCTAGCCGGTTTCAATCCCTTAATTCTTGGCTCTCCCCCACCTTGCTGTTTTAGTCGCTTGTCTTCTAGTTTTAATTCATACACGATGGCAGGGCGTCGTTCCAAAACAGTCGACAAGTCCATGTTCAACAAATTGGACAAGGTCAGCCTATCCGTTTTCCTTTGAAGTCCTTACATCTCGCTAAGACTGACATGCCTCAACGTGCGCACTTTGCTAGGGAATGGCAAAAAGTGGTCGAACACTCGAGACCCTCTCGATCGATATTTGCTGCTAATGCGAAATGCGCCTGCAAGTGTCGTGCACCGTATTTACTCTGCGATCCCTCACTTGAGACATTGCTGGCACATTCCTACTGCGCCTGCCTGGCGATTTAGCAGCTTCAAATGCAGGTTACGTTGATATCGGCATTGTCTCGAGTTACCGTGCTCATGCTGCCCTGATCGATTGGATCCTTGTCAAGACCTGGATGCGCGCCGTTAAGTTGTCTGGCTTGTTCCAGGCTTCGAAGTCGCGCTGGGACAGACGGTGCCTGTTTGTCATTGCTGCTTATGCCTCCACAAACTGCAGCCCTGATTCCGTGAAAAATGATTTTTATCACCAATGGACTTATCTCCTTCGTTACAGAAGAAACACAGATACTGAAATACTTGTTGGTGATCTAAGCACTCAAGTCGGAAACTTGTACTCTGATGGACTTCATCTGGTGGCCAAAACGATGTAGGCTCCCGTAATGATAACGGTGAGCAGTTGCTACACTTGTGTGAAGGTGCTCATCTTATTCTCGCAAGCACAAAATTTCAACCGCCACCCGCGAAAAAGTGACTTGGCGCCTGCAAGCCTCGCACCAGCCATGGACGCAAATTGATTATATCGCAATCGGTTGACGCTGGAGAAACTGTGTTCAAACCTGTTCCTCAATTAGGAGCATGAGCGTGGACTCCGATCACGCACTCGTGTGTGTCGACCTGAGTGTGCCTTTCAGCGGACTTTCGCGAAGTCACTCTGAGCTCATTGACATTGGCCAACTGGCGAAGCCAGGTGTTTTTAATACGTACCAAACTACGCTGAACACGTTGGAAGATCACTGGTCGCATATTCGGCAAACGTTACTATCAGCAGGCATGTATTCATGTGGCAAACGAAACTGCCAACCTAGACATTGGGCATCTAAAAAGTCTTTGGATCTTATGAATGCTCGCCAACGGAAGCGGATATAATGAGACTCATAAAAATCTCAGGGCAAACCTGCATACTAACCTGAAGGCAGACTGCGAAGCTTGATGGTTTCATCGTGCATCGGCAATGGAAACAGCCGCTGCCGTTGGTAATCATCGTAAATTTCCCCGTCTGATGCGGGAAACAGGCAGCAGGATATCTGGTATTAATGCGACAATAGGTTGCAAGCGTGGGCAGCCGATTCACAGCTTGTCAAAAAACTTGAGTCGTTGAGCCTTTGATCCGTCCTGACGCCAGAAGCCAAATGTGAGTGCAGACAGTTGAAACGGCGTAAGAGCGCTGGTGCAGACAGAAGTCACCCAGACGTCTACACTTTCGAATTATTAGCTCTTGTAGATGATTTACACGAGCTTTTAATGAAACTTTGGCCACGGGAAACTGCCCCAACGGACTGGAGGCCTTAAAATTTAGTCCCAATTTTTAAGGGAGGCTTTTATTTGGAATACAGCAACCATAGAGAGATCAGTCTGTTCTCAACTGCCACTAAATTGCTTGTCTTTGTCGCTCCCCACAGACTGACTGGCGCTCGTGAATGCCAGACCCGCAAAGAGCATGCCGGGTTTCGTCGAAATCGAGGCTGTGTCAGTCACTACTTTACCTAGTATCAGTTTTTAGAGCACCGCTATGTTTATTGGCTACCTACCGTTGTTGTGTTTCTTGACATAATAGGTGGCTTCTGTACGATGGATCGAGGTGCCCTTTGGGACTGTTTGCTCAGGAAAGATGTGCCTGATCCATATGTAAGCAGTCTTAAAGCGCAGTACACGCACACATTGGGCAGAGTGACAGTTTGTAGCCAACTGTCGCAGGTCTTCCAAATCTCCAGCCGTGTAAGACAAGGTTGCTCGCTGTCACCTTTCCTCTATAAATGCGCTATTGGTGGAGTCATGAAAACAGTGTTCGCTTGACATGACCTACAACATGTAGAGCTACTTCATGGTGAGCGACATCTTGACTTTGAGTATGCGGACGACAATGCTCTCAAATGTGACAGCCTCCAAACGTGCCAGGCTGCAATGGACCAGTACGCACTCGCTGTCGATCATTTTGGGCTATGCTTTACTCCATCGAATTTCAAACTACTTCTCCAAGATTAGCTGGGACCCACTCCTGCGCTGACCCGTTGGTGGTAATCAGCTAGATGTCGTTCAGAAATTCAAGTACTTGGGCAGCTATATTGGCGCCGTGGGTTCTATGATGAAATTACCGGCGGTTTGCTCTCCGGAACGATGTCTATCCGTTACTAGTGACTCAGCCGGAGTGTCTCTGTTTTTTCTCATTCTTCTCTTCCGTACTGCGGCACAATATCTGACGTGTTTTCCATCTGCAGCTAAGGTGTACGATGATGATGCTGAACGTGTTAAACAGACCTATAGAAAATAACCTATGGAGGAAGGAAACGCATAGTGTAATAATTCAGTCAGTAGTTCGAACCCCTTAGGTTATCCTCGGAATATAACTTTAACTATGCCCTTTTAAGTGATCACTATTCAAATATAATTATACGCATATATAATTATATATACAAGTAAATACCTAGGCGTGTTATTTCAAACTAATCATTAACGATTGATTGACTACGAAATCACATTGCATAATTCCGTAGTGAATTGGCTGAATTTTGAGAAATTTGATTGACATCAAGTTGGCATTCTTAAGCGGGATTTATAGAGATGCATATAGTTCTAGTAACCAAACGCCGCTCAAAACTGTTAATCCATATATCTGGGAGTCAATAACTTATATTTATCAGAAAATTCCGAGAACACTGCTGCATAATTTTAAGCCTCTTTTCTGCCTATACTGTATACTGCTTGCTCAAGGCACCTATTTAAAAGTTGCTGCTTGTTCCAACCATATACACATCATTAGTGGATAAATTTCTACTCGTAGATATCACATGGAATTTTGACTTCAGCTTGTTGGAAGACCAATAGCATCCAATATTGAGGTTTATGGAAACTTGCACCGTCTCCTTTTGCTATATGTTTGCAAATATGCTTTAACCGGTACGGTATCAAGGGGTTTTAAAAATTGATTGACAGACTGCTTTTTGGAGTCAATGACTCCTCATTTATCTGTCTGTTTTGTATCCAGTGAAGGCGTTCAGCTTATTTAACTTGACTGTTTCTTAATGTTATCGACTTTATAGTGAAATGTTCACACTCTCATAGCACGATGGTTTAGTTACATTATAATTGGAGGGATACGCAGGAACAAGGAAAGAATTCGACTTGTGTGCGATACCCAAACTAATGGACAGTAAGAGCTATTTTGTTCCTAGGTCATAACTGATGCCAGAATCGATTGGGCTTGCTGTGTTTTGCTTGTCAGCAATCATATAAAGTTATGGCATTATTGACCATTTTGGCAATCATGTTTATTCTAAAGCATAATAGAGGTTCAGTGACAGTAATTCTTCCCAAAACAAGCTACTATCCCCTGTATCTAATTAAAAGTGAGTGCCGTAGGTTTCCACCATACCTTATCATACTGCTTGACCTTAATTAAATTATAGCTACTAAAGTTGATGTAAGCTTGTTTTTGAGAATTCAGTAGATGCTATGCTGGTGAACACAACTTATGTTGATTACGGAAAATAGTTCTTTCTGATTCCATAACAAATATTCTACCGCACAATACGTGCCGCTAGCACAAATTATTTTCTTTTTACCCTTATGTATAACATACACTGAAGAAACGATAGTGATTAGCTCCTTAGTTCACATTTGCTTAAACATCGCTCTTCGCCATCATGTGAGATGGTTGAAATAAAGATTATACGGCTAACATTGTGAAGAATCCGATGATTTTCCTAACCAGCTCTTCTAAACAAATGGAGGTGTTGCCAATTTTCTCATTCCAAATACTTTTTTACCAGTAGCATTTACACCAATATTATGTACTCATCAAGTAGCCTCTTGAATCGGTTGGATTTACTTAAATTTCTGAAAAAGACATGACTCATTCAAAAGAAATGTTTGCAATTGTTTCTTATGGAACTGCTCACGGACTTTAACTTCATTATTTAGTATCTCATGCAAACAATTCGAAGAATACATTTACTTCGTCCTTTCCCCTGCAACATTACAGGAATTACTCTTCCGCAATATCAGTTAGCAAACCACATGCACCTTCAAGTTGGACGGCGATTCCAACTCGTTCCGAGAAAAGAAATTAACTGCAGCTGGCCCATTGATGAGAGTTTGCTAAGTCAGTCTTAAATATTGTTTAACTCCCTATGATTGAAAGACAATGCGAAAATGATGAATAAAACTGTAAATAAGTGTTACAAAGTCTAGTTTATATGATGTTTGTTAAGGCTTTAATGCAGTAGCATGCATACTTATTACTTATTTGATTTCTGAATGGTAAATCATAGCTAAAAATTGTAATCTGTTCGGCCTGGATGAACTGCCTGCAGATAAGCCGTTTCCCAGAATATTTAACGACCATAGCCAAGGTTATCATTTAAGGTCGGATAGCCGTTGTCCTTAAAAAAGCACATTTAGCCTGTAATATTAAGTACTAGCTGGATAAATGTGCGGAATACTATGGTTCTGTTTGCAAGCGGTGTGACCCGTATTGATTAGACTCACCTAATCCAACTTGCATAGAAACACAGAAGATAACGAAGAGTAGCGCCAGAAACTTCAACATATTGTAGCTGAAATCAAAAATAAAATGCTTTCATAATTGCCATCCAATTGGATCCACTTACCTACATGCACTGATTGATATTGCATCTGTTTCAAATTCAGCTTAAGGACATTGATAACATTCTATTGTATCTCTCGCAATTAGTAACTATATGGAGTTGATTTTTTAATCATTTCAGATCAACAATAAAGTTATGCAACGAAATAGTTGGAAGTACTTTTTATCTCCTTACGACTGTGCCTAATTTAGTTTATTCAGCAGCCTAGCTAGACGTAGGTTTGATCATTCCATCCCAAGAACTACTCACTTGCTTTATAAGTTGAAGTTGATAGTTTCATTGGTTATACAACGAAATGTAAACAAAAGATAACTGATTTGAGCTACTCAGTTAAGCAGCAAAATAAGTCTAAACAAATGTTTCGTTTTCACATTTTTTATCATTAGTTTCGTGTAATCTGCTGCTTGCTGCTTGCCCGAATGATTAACTCCAGGAACTGCGATTATTAGCTTTGTCCTGCTGTTGTACGTTGACTTATTGACGTGAGATGAAGTCATCACTTACAGATATGACATAACTTGTATCATGCAATATTAAAAGCATAACATAGTAATAATAAAGGTTAGGCCGTGTTAGACTTTTTTTGAATGCATATAAAAGACAAATATTTTGCTCATGATATTTCCCCCGTTAACGTGACTGGATTTTGAAAAACAAGACATAATTATCAGGAATGTGCATTCTCGTCTTATTCGGTTTTACATTTGGTTACCTTTAGTTAGTTTAGTTTGAATAATTAGCCAGATATAATATTTCAGCAAACGCAGAAGCGCACAGAAAAAATGTTAAACATTACGTCTATTTCAATAGCTAAATATAAGAGTACAAGCACGCCAATATAAGCTATTTTTACGATTCACCTGGATCTGATACGAAAATTGTCCATTATGCTTTTGACCCGATGAATCAACACACCATCCAGTTCTACCGGTGCAAATTAACGTCCATTTTTACAGTCAACTTACCACAAATTTGATTAGTAAACTACTACTTTCCACAAGGAATGCTCAAAATCATTTGTATGACAAAGTCATATAAGCAACACTGTTCATTTAAGGAATAAGAATGATACGCAACTTGGAAAAATGCACAGGTTGTTTAGATAATTGCATTTAATCCCTACAAGCGGATCTGTATGACAATTAACAGCTTCCGAGAAAACAGCGAGATTTAGTTGTCTGGCTGGTGGAAAAGTTTACGCTGTCAAGTTTGTGGTGTTGACTTGATGCACAGTAGCAAAGTGATGGTGCTGGCGCCCTGGGCAATGTGTGCCAAATATGTGTGTTATTCTTGTTCATTCGTGTATTGCAAGTCAAAATTTACAAAACAGTCTAAATACACGTTTCTTGATGTGCCCGCAAGAGTGTTGCATAATTTGCATCGGCGAATAACGTTGGAATAATCTACTCAAAGGACGGACAAATACTGTTTTGTCACAACTCAATACTTCAGCTAGAATATGACGCCGTAATTAGTAATGACGATTCCAGAATAGAACAAATAGTGTAATATAGTATTCCATCAAGTTGAACCTGAACTTAGTTTTAGTTTCTACTTGGAATAACAAAGATATATGTGTTCTATGCCAACTCAGCTCAGCGAAATAAATAGAGCCAGTTACCGAATCAACAACTATATCTGCAAACCCTTAAGGCATTTTGGTGGTAATGTAATTAGTTGACTAACCGAAAACGTAGGTAGAATAACAAAATATTTCGTTTTCGGAATTCAAGGAGTTATGTGTATGCACTGGATTGGTAGTCCCTATGAAACGGTTAGCAAATTCAGTTCTTGAAGCATTTGTAATTCTGTAGCGGTTATCTCTTCGTACTATAGCGAAAAGTTGAAAGACATGAATAACATCTCTACCTTTATTTAGCGGTTAATTAATAAAACCGTACTCCAAAATTCTTTATGCAAGAATTTAATGTTACAATTGGGCAAAGTTTGGGAAACCTATTGTAAAGTGTAGGTAGCCAAAAAACCGGGTAGTTTACGCAGGACTTTAGTGCTTGATCTTGGTCGACACCGAGAAAGGATTGCGAGTAATTGAAGGAAGCAATTTGTGCGGCAAAATCCATTGTAGTTGAAAAAAATAAACTGGTGCAACTTATAAACCGTACCACAAGGGAAGCAACCACAGTCTGAAACAGCCAGGAAATTTGTTTAATGTGATTCCATATGTGAAATATTAAAAATGATTATTTGCTAACAACAACACAAGAACCACAACATTTTAACGTCTTACTTCCTGTTTTAATTAAAACAGTCCCTGGCGAAGGGCGGCATATCACAGTCTCATGCATATGGTTAAGATTATCAATAGTGTTATGTTTATATGAGCAAAGCGTTCAGTGCCGCAGAACCTCAGCATTAACTGGATCTTACTATGTGACTAATTGTGCATTTCCATAATCATAGTAAATGCTGTGTTGCCATTGTAGCTACGTTCAGGAGCCTATGTTTAAAGGTTTCTTGAAGCTGAAACGAAACAGTTTTTATGCTACTCGCATAAATTTATGTCCTATTATTTTAAAGAAATCAACAAAGTTTTTTAGGAGCGTGTAGATTACGCAGTTTGGGCATGCACTACTAAAAACAGAACCTATCCGGCGGAAACATTGCGTCAAAATTACGAACACGGGGCTTCAGAACTTCCTTTGACAGCATCCATCGGTGGTCGTTAAGAAAAGAACATGCTGCACATGTACTCACGGTAACTGCTGTTTCTACTCTCAAGCAAATTTTGCTGAATGCGGATTTGTATAATTGATAAAACTTTCCTCAAAAAGCAATGGCTGTTTATTAACTCAACGACTTAGCCATGCAACTAATGCTTCGTGGCATATAAAAGGTTAGTAAATCCAGAAGAAAGGCGCATTGGATAAACATTCCTAACATATGCGTAAGTACCGTGTTTCCGTTAAAAGTTCGGCAGCTATTCACTGCCTGAGAACCTGGGACTGCGGTATTGGTACGGCACCGAAATTTGCGGCATTAAAATATTTCAACTTGTGTATGAACTTCCAGCTAAAAATCGATCATCGTGTTTTTTGCGTTAAAATGCTGCTAACACCGCTGCAGTCGAACAAGCAAAGCCGCTATTTAACAACTTTTGCTTATTAGTAGGTCTGCTTTTTACCACCTGACATTTGGGGCTAAGAATGGTTCAAAGTAAGTCATTGTTGGGAACAACTTACATTAGCTACAACTGTTTTGCATTGTAAGTAGTTCATCAGCGCTGCCAGTGGTTGGATTCATATTCCACAGACCCTCTCAAGTTAGGAGCAATGTACAATAAGTGAACAAACAGATTTTTAACCTAATGGTTTATAGGTTTTTTGTTTATAAACTTACTGAAGAAGCTATATGTTTTAGTAATTATTACAACCTTTTTGAAATTAGTGTCACTTCTATTCAAAACATGTTATCTTTTCTACCGATCATGAGATGGAATATTCTGAATTTAGAACCTAAACACTAAACAGCTGTAAACCTCCATTATCATTTTAAGTTTTGGAGAGTTATGTTAATAAAAACCACCAACTCGGAATTCCCTGCCAAACAATACTAAGGAGTACACCCAAGTAGCTTTGTAGAAATGCTTACCATTGTGCTAATCTACTTTATGATTTTTAAGGTATAATGGTTGTGTCCTAGAAGATGAATCTGTTGGGGTGTCCTTGTTCGATGGTGTTTGAGACAAGTCTTTTGAAAGAGATTACCATCGCAAATTTTGATTTGTTTCATTAGCGTCATAACAAAATCGAGCTGTAAAAATGCTGTCTATCGATGGAAGTATAATAATTATATTTTAAGGTAGTTTGCAGATACACACAAAGATAAGCACAGGCCTCAGCTGCTTGATACAACCAAATTTGTGCGAAAACCAGAAGGCTTGGCTTTAGTGACTTTCAGAAAATGATAATAATATATCCATTGTAGAAGAAATCACATGGAGAACACGTTTTAGTTTGCACTATAGGCAAACACATAAGAAAATATATCGTCACACCATTTACCTGGTACTAGCCATTATTGAGTAACTACTCTGTAAACTGCATAGATCTTATTGCTGCTTACGATGCTTGAAAGTTTTCGCAGCTTTTAGCTGTTTTCCGCTTACCTGATCTACAGATAATGCATTGCAATGTCAAATTCCGCATATATATTTTATACTTAATCAAAGTTCAAACAAAACTGTTTCACTAATTTCAGCTGTCAAATCATATTCTGTTTTGACATAGCTCTTATTTGCAGAAAAATTTCGCCGATGATTACTACTTTCCTAACTAATGGTAATTAAATATAAAAGTAAAGATTGGACAGTTTATTAAGAAAATAGTTGCCATTTATGTGCGCCAAATCTTGTTCTTGCATGAAAGCCCACATTGTGAATATAATGCAACCAAACTTTTCTTACGTTTTAGAAGCGCCATGATTGTGATTCTGGATAAGTAGAAAGTAAAAACGTTTGTCTAAGTGCGTTTCGGGTGTAATCTTAAATACGTTGAATTGGACGTCCATGTGAAAGTTGGCGCTAAATAGGTTACAATTAATTGGTAATAGCGTCTGCTAAAGATGGATCAGCTGACTAAGCAAAACCCTAACAAATATCCTAACAACTTGTCACCAGTTAACTTGTCTTTATCAATAATATATTGCCCCAACCAATGGTCGGAACGATAAGACAAAATACAAGCTTCTTACACTGAAGAGCTGTCAAAATAAAACCGGCTATCACATTTAACTTGTAGATGCTGCTAACTTAGTTTTTGGCTGTTTTCATTGCTTCAAAACTGATACAGTAAGGGCGGCTGCTGTCTGTATCCATGTTTCATCAATTGGTATTCTTTGTCGTTCATTTATTTCGAAACAGTTTCTTATGAACTGAATAGTAAGTATCCTGTTGCTACCAAAGTTAATCCTAAACTTAATGCATGAATTAC